GTGATGACAGAAGCAGTCACCTAATTAACAGCAGCTGTTAATTTTTTTTTCCTAAGATTTATTTATTTATGCTTACAGAACTGGGGTACAGGCCAGAGGTGCAGGAGCAGTGAGACGATTCACCAGAGACAGAGTGGGGAGCAGAACAGGTAGACTGATGAAGTACACTGCTGAGGGGAGCAGTGGGCGGGTCAGGAGAGGTCTGCCACACCATGTGGATCACCTCTGGGGCAGGGATCGAACTCATGCTAAAGTGACTCTAGCTTCTTAGTGTTGTGCTTGAACCCGCTGTGCGACCAGGGAGAGCCCCCCCTCTGTTTCTTTTTATTTAGCACTGGTCTGTTGTCTTTGTCATTTAAAAAAATATCTGATTTTCTATGGGGTAAAATCACATCAGATTAGTGTTTCTTCAGCAGGACACAATAAGGCTTTCATGATTTGGCTTCTAATTATTTTTACAGCATCATCCTGCTGTTCCACTGTTTGTATGACTCACTACCTTTCACATGTCTCTATTTTGAGTCTTTTCCACTCCCAGCCTCCTCTGCACCCCATACTTTCTTAATGTCCATCCTTTCATCCTCTGTTATTTCTTTCAATAAACATTTTAACACATTTCAGTTAGTGTAGGAATCAGGCCATATTGTGATTATCTGCTTATCACATATATGTTTTCTTACTTAAAGAGCGTAGCTGTATGTCTTATTAATCTTTACCTCATGAGACTCAGCACTATACATGGACCCTTGTACATTTCTCAGTGTCTTACATGACTACATTTATGAAGTTTTAAGTGTTCACAAAGTGGAGTGTTTTTGGTTTTGCTTCCCACAGTGAAGTTTTAAAAACTTCACTAAAAACTCTGATTTTTTAGATAAGAAAATTCAGATGAAGGGTTTAATTAACTGAGAGCCCAAGAGTAATGAGGAAGATTGAGGCTCCGTTTTTTCAGATTTTTTTTTTTGTCTAGCATTGTATAACAGCTACTTAGTTTATTTTTTCTCCCTTGACTAACTGCAGTTCTTTGTTATAAGCTCTAGTATGTTTCCTCAGGGCTGATCTGTAAGTACACTGACAGAATTTTTATACTTTCCCAAAGTGTGTATAAGTAAATATTTCAAAAAGTGCTTACCAGTCAAGTGAATTAGTGTAAATTATTTAAAATAAATCTATCTATGATGTAAATTATTTAAATAACTATCTATAATAAATAGTGTAAATTATTTAAAATAAATCTATAATGTAAATTATTTAAATAACTATCTATAATAAATAATTAGTGTAAATCATTTAAAATAAATCTATAATGGATAAAATAACATACCCTTTTGGGGGGGGGGAAACAAACATTTATTTTTTGGCAGATTTTGCATGTTCCTCAGCCAGGTCTTGAATGGGGATACCAAGGTAAACCAAAAGTGACCCTGCCTTTTTACAAAGCCCATGAACTTATGGGGGAAGATTGTTAATAATCAGAGAAATAGAATATTGCTATTCTGGCAAAGGCTAGGAGTAAAAAGTGCATGGGAGCTAAGAGTTTGGGAGGGGTGAGTTGTGTGATTTGGATTTGACCTAGTCATGGAAGCTTTCTCAAGAGGGTTATAAGATGAGTAGTAGTTTTCTCATGGTGGGGGACCAAGCAGAGCCATGAGACACAGGACATGAGCACATTTTTCACATCGAGAAAACCTTACATTGGAAGGAGTAGCCAGTGTGGTTAGAGGCTGAACAAAGGGAAACTGGATGTGAGATGAGGCCGGTTTAATCAGACCATGCGGGGCATAAAAATCCTGGTCTTTACCCTAAAATCAACATTTTAAGGATGGGGTAAGGCTGGACCAGTTAAAAGGCATATGCAGTAAAGATATATTAGCAAGCAATATTTACCTGATGGCTAAAGATAGACAGTAAGTAATGGATTTAGGAAATAAAATTGATCAGACTTGGCTGATGATTTTGATGGGATATAGATAGAGGACAGTTTCAGTAGCAGAAACACAGTGTGTCATTTGGGCTTTTGGGGAATAAATAAAAAGGAAAGAAACAGATAAGCTGTTTTGGGCCTTCAAGATTACCCAAAAAGAGAGCTAAAGTAGACAATTTAAAGGAGAGACCTGGACTGGTAATAACTTGGTACTCATTTGTATATAGGTAACAATTGAAGCCATGAGATCATCTTTAAAAAGTCCTCAAGAAGACCATGGTTTATTTATGAAGGGGTAATGAAATGACTGGGGTAACAACCACTGTTTTAGATACAAAGAGGAAATTTCATAAATTTTAGTTAAGTATCAAAAGTATATTAATACATGGCAATACTTGCAAAATTGGCATTTAATATCATAAAAGGCTGTAAAGTTGTTATTGTGTATAATTATAGCCTAATTACTTTCAACTGACTTCTGTTTTCCAGACTGACCATAATATCAGTCTAGAATATATACTTTTAAATCATTGCATTTAGTTGACTTAGTAGAATGGTATATGTTCATTAAAAATCTGTACGTTGGTTATATTGGGTGGGGGATTTAAAAAACTGTGCTAAATCATTGTGTTCCCTTGGCCCTCCCTGGTGGCGCAGTGGGTTAAAGCACAGCACTGAGAATCTAAAGCCTCTTCCGCATGAGTTCGATTCCCACCTGCCCCAGAGGTGACCACATGGCGTGGCAGACCTCTCCTGACCCGCCTGCTGCTCCCCTCAGCAGTGTACTTCGTCGATCTGCCTGTTCTGTTCTCCGCTGTGTCTCTGGTGAGGCCTCTCACCGCCTCTGAGCCTCTGGCCTGCATCCCAATTCTCTATGTACAAATAAAAAAATCTTTAAATCATTGTGTTCCCCCCACCCCCAGTAAAATTAATGAAACAACTGCATTAGTTTTTCTCTACTTTCATCTTTGTATACTCATTGCATAGTATGTGACTTACATGTAATCGGTGCTGAATGATTGGGTGAATTAAAGCATGCCTTTAATATTATATATTTTTTCTTACTTTCTTAGGATGGCTGGCTGTGGTGAAATTGATCACTCAATAAACATGCTTCCAACGAGCAGAAAAGGGAATGAGTCCTGTTCTAATACCACACCTTCTCTAACTGTCCCTGAATGTGCCATTTGTCTGCAAACATGTGTTCACCCAGTCAGTCTACCTTGTAAGCATGTTTTCTGCTATTTGTGTGTAAAGGGAGCGTCATGGCTGGGGAAGCGATGTGCCCTCTGTCGACAAGAAATTCCAGAGGATTTCCTTGACAAGCCAACCTTATTGTCACCGGAAGAGCTCAAGGCAGCAAGTAGAGGAAATGGTGAATATGCATGGTATTATGAAGGAAGAAATGGGTGGTGGCAGTATGATGAGCGTACTAGTAGAGAGCTGGAAGATGCTTTTTCCAAAGGTAAAAAGAGCACTGAAATGTTAATTGCTGGGTTTCTGTATGTTGCTGATCTTGAAAATATGGTTCAATATAGGAGAAATGAACATGGACGCCGCAGGAAGATTAAGCGGGATATAATAGATATACCAAAGAAGGGAGTGGCTGGACTTAGGCTGGATTGTGATGCTAATACCATAAACCTAGCGAGAGAGAGCTCTGCCGATGGAGCGGACAGTATATCAGCACAGAGTGGAGCTTCTGTTCAGCCGCTGGTATCTTCTGTAAGGCCCCTGGCCTCAGTAGATGGTCAGTTAACAAGCCCTGCAACACCATCCCCTGATGCAAGCACTTCTCTGGAAGACTCTTTTGCTCACTTACAACTCAGTGGAGACAGCATAGCTGAAAGGAGTCATAGAGGGGAAGGTGAAGAAGATCATGAATCACCATCGTCAGGCAGGGTACCGGCACCAGACACCTCCATTGAAGAAACCGAATCAGATGCCAGTAGTGATAGTGAGGATGTATCTGCGCTTGTTGCACAACACTCGACCCAACAGAGACTTTTGGTTCCTAGTACAAACCAGACAGTATCTGATCGATCAGATCAGTCAGGAACTGATCGATCAGTAGCAGGGGGTGGAACAGTCAGTGTCAGATCTAGAAGGCCTGATGGACAGTGCACAGTAACTGAAGTTTAAATAAAACAAAAAGTCTTCAGCTTCACGCTTAAGGTTAAGTGGTTATCTGTAAATTTCTGCCCGTTGTAACATTATACTCATCCCTCGTAGTGCATTTTGGGAGCTGGGGTGGGAAGGGGGGTATGGGAAGGATAGGTCTGTAATTAAAAGTCTAACGTGTCTTTGTTGAGAAATTTATTTAATGTAAGGAACTTGGGTATTAATAGTTGAGAGCTGTTAGTAATAACCCAGTTTTCTTAAAGTTTGTTTATTTTATGGTTTTTAAAACTTCAGTTCTTTTAGCCAGAGTGTGTGTATTATCTGTGCATCATAGTCCTCATCTGATTCTTGCATTGTATCTTATTTTCTGCATGGGTTGACAAAACCATTACTAAATTTGGCACCTAGGAGATGTCTGGTATCAGTATGACCAGGAAGCTTAATTATGTGAGAATAGATATGAATTGGGAGCTTTTAAAATAGGTGAATAACAACTGTTTAATAGTACAGTTACTGACATGGAAATGTAACAAAAACAGCTAGCAACTTAAGTTTCAGAATCTTGTCTGTAATACACTTTATGGCATTCCCACAGGCTTTGCTGTCGAGTCCTTGTAGTTTCAGGTTTCTCTGAATCCGCATTTTTCTTTTTGATTACAGAATTTATAATTTAATAAATACTAGAGTTTATCAAAAATAATTTGCCTTTTGTTTGAGTCTGGAAAGGGGATGGAGACATTTTGACATTAGTTGCCAAAGGTCACTAAAAGGTTCAACTCCAGTAGTCACCTGCTCAGGAGTTTGACTGAAAGAGAATAAGCAGAATTGAAAGGCAGTGTGTGGTAGTCAACAGGTACAGCAATAAACCGAAAGCCTGTGAGGCTTTCATTAAATAACCTGTAGTAAGCCTGTGAGGCTTTCATTAAATAACCTGTAGTAAAGCAATAAATACTTGATTTTCCTTGCCTGTCTTCATTACCAGTGGTCTAACACAAGTCTGAATTACATGGTAGGCCTGTTTATAAGCACGTTAGTAGAAACAAATTCACTCTATATAAAATATAGACTGGCACCATAGGATATATAAGGTTAATTAGGTAATCTAGAATCTGTTCCAAACAAAAGTAATGTGAGCTTGTCTTACTGTATTTTTAAACTAAAAACAGTAAATGTTGATAAAGCACATGCAAGTTATTTGTAATATGATTTTAAATATGAATTGAATGTTATAATACCAAAAACTTACATTTTTTAAAAATTTGTATCACTGAGATTCTAAAGTTTAAGTTGTGTTTTTATAAATTTTAAAGATTAAAAAAAAAAACACTAGTTCCAGGGGGAAAAAAGAAATCTGCTATAAAATGCAAATCTATAAGATGCTTCATGAATTGTAGTTTTGAATGTAAAATTAAATTGTACTATGTAAACTGGACCAGTTTGAAAGTTCCAAGGTACACAAATGGTCACTTTTATACAGAAGACTTTCCTTATGAGAGTTATCATTGTTTAGTATATAATTTATAATAGAAAACTATTAAACATATCAACTAAGGCTCCATATTTTTAGGTGGCTGAAGATGAGAAGCATCTAAAAGGAGGGCTGTTCCCCATGGCTCTTATTCTTGGGACAGAACAAAATGGCTCATGGTACCTACAATTACCTTACTCCCCAACCAGTCCAATTTTTTCTTCACTAATTGCAAGGTTTATTGTTATTTTCGTAAGTTATTTCCAAGTAATGTGGCGCAAAGACATGACTAATAGTAACACCAGGAATGGGTTTTGTGTAGAAACTTTAACTTTTAAAACCTATCTTTAGCTACAGACTAAAACTACTATGGGAACTTGGGACTTTATAACTTTTAAGTCAAAGTATATTTTAAACAGTGTTATAGATTACTTGGTGAAGACCCAAATATACTGAAAACTACGCTAATGAGGTCAGGTATTCTAGAAATTATATAAAGCCAAATGCTAGTAATAGCCTTGAGAATAATTGATGCTCATGTTTAAGTTAATCATTTAACTTTTATATGTTCTAAAATTTAGAGGTTTACTTATAGCACATAATATTTTTGAAAAACTATTTAAATTTTGATTTCCTAGCAATAGCCTCTAAATTTGCGGGTCCAGCCCAAACTGTTCCCACAAGATCTTTTTCAGCTTGTAACGCTTCTTCGAAACAAAGCTCTCTGGCTGAAATAACTGATTTTTTCAAAGCTCTAATTACTTCCGGTGGCCCTGTGATAAACTGCTTTAGCCACTCTTGTGCCTCTTCTAGAGATTCATTTTCATCTGAAGACTGCAACACCTCTTCAACCATTCCTATGTTCAAAGCTTTTTTTGAATCCAATTTGAGAGTTCCACTTAACACTTTGAGAGCTTGTCTACTACCAATGATTTCAACCAACCGGGTAGCACCACCCCAGCTTGGTATTATACCCATCTCCTTGTGGACAAATCTGATCTCACTCTCTTTAGTCATCAATCTGCAAAAAAAAGAAAAAGAAAAAATTACAACTGTAATTCAAAAGTACATGTGCATTGGTCATTAAGGTACTGTCTATTCAAGTTCTGATCTCAAATCTCCATAGATCTTTATACACAAGTAATGAAAATCAGTATTTATCTAGCTAAGACTAGAATTCAGTTACAGTACTAAACACTTCACTTTGAAAATAATGTCACAGTTTTTACCATACTTGTTTATCTTCTACTTTGCAATAAGAATATTGTCTTTATTGTATTTGTTTTTAGAAGCCCAAAGTTTACTTTCTAAAGTGAGTAGTGGCCTAATGAGAACACCCTTATTACTAAAAGGAAAATATTGAAGAAGGAAATGTTAGGTTTCTACTATGGGGGGAAAATTTTGGTAAGTTATGCTCAGTAGGTCTCAGTTAAAAAAAAAAATCAAACCCAGCAGTGGCCAAGGTACAGGATCAGACTATAAGAATGAAACAAAATCTCAAACAAAATCTCTGCTCAACTTACATTCCAGTTAGAAGAGAAAGCAATAAACAATATCAGTGATAAGAGCAACAAAGAAAAGGCAGAAGACTAAGTTTAAGGATAAGTACCTTGGGGGTACTTATCTTAGATGGAGAAAACCTCCAAATACTTGGGCAGCTGAGTAAGCATGCAAAAATCTGAGGAGAAGGTATCCTAGAAGAGGGAACTGCAAATGCAGTGACAATGAAGTAGAATTGCTTTATTATAGGGAAGGGGAGTGTGGAATGTAGCTGGCATAAAGTAAGCAAAGAGTAGGAAAAGATGAAATCAGGGAGGTAAGGTTACCGAACTTAGAATTTAAAGTTTTAATTTTTAAGTGTGAGGCTGTTAAGATGAGATTGACCAAGGGAACAGCATATAAAGGTTGCTCTGGTTCTTTTATTTAGCATTTAGTAACACACAAACCAGTTGTTTCTGGGGCTTTATGATAATAACTAATTTTCAGAACAACCATATGAGTTATAGTAGTATCCTCATAAAGATGGAAACTGAAAAAACAACTCACTCAAGGCCATGAGGCTATGGAAAAGCCAGAATTTAAACAGGCAGGTTAGCATTCTGTGTGTTTTTAACAACAAAGGATGTTGTAAAGGTAAGAGTAGAAGCAGGGACAACATTCAAGCTGACAGTGGCCTGAGTTGGAGAGCAGAGACTTTCTATGGTAGAGACTAATTTCCTCCCAAATCTTGAAATTTTTACGAATAAGATGATTGATCAGCAAGTAGAACAGTAAAAGGAAGTTAATACAAGTTAGTTGGCAATGCAAAAGGCTTCACATTTGTCAGTTAAATATATATTTCAACAGGCCACTGTACTGCTTTAAGAACTGCATATTTCACTATTTTAAAACCTTTGATTTGGACCAAAGACCATGTCTGGTTTTTAATTTTTTTTTTTTTAAAGATTATTTATGTATACAGAACTGGGGTACAGGCCAGAGGTGCAGGGGCGGTGAGAGGCTTCACCAGAGACAGAGTGGGGAGCAGAACAGGCAGATCGACAAAGTACACTGCTGAGGGGAGCAGCGGGAGGGTCAGGAGAGGTCTGCCATGCCATGTGGTCACCTCCGGGGCAGGCGGGAATCGAACTCATGCGGAAGTGGCTTTAGCTTCTCAATGCTGTGCTTTAACCCGCTGCGCCACCAGGGAGGGCCAGTTTTTAATTTTTTTAAGGAAAATTGTTGCCTTCAAACTATGCATTACAAAAAAGACCTTAAATTAGTTCAGCGTTCCAAAGTGTCCAATGCTAAGCTACAAGTGGTTTATCCTATTAGCTCCAAGAACAACCAATTTACAGTCTTTAACCCACTTATCAGGAGAAATACACCAATACAGATTTCTTAAAACAGACTATTAACTCACTTGGAAAGAAAACTTCTCTTTTCATAGCTGTGAACTCCTACAAGGGAAAATCTACCTCAACATGACCATTTGCTTTTAGAGCTATTTCAGAAATAGCTGTGAAAATAGGTTTCAATAATTGATTTTTAAATGGAAAAGAATAAAGAACAAGTCTCATATATGACTAGCTCAAAACTTGAGTATTGCCTTGTTATCCTAGAATATTGCCTTTTTAAAATAGAAAACAGGGCCCTCCCTGGTGGCGCAGCGGGTTAAAGCACAGTACTAAGAAGCTTAAGCCACTTCCGCATGAGTTCGATTCCCGCCTGCCCCAGAGGAGATCCACATGGCGTGGCAGACCTCTCCTAACCCGCCCACTGCTCCCCTCAGCAGTGTACTTTGGTCGATCTGCCTGCTCTGCTCCCTGCTCTGTCTCTGGTGAATCCTCTTACCCTCTGCATCTCTGGCCTGTACCCCAACTCTATATGAATAAATAAAATCTTTAAAAAAAAAAGAAAATGCCAAAAATAAGATAAAAATCACAGGAATAATGTGATAAGGTATCAACAAGATAAGCCTCCAACATGGAAACTGCTTCCTAATAACCTTATAGGATTACACACTAATTACTCCTAAAGCTTAGATGCAGTTACTTATAGTAACTTAAATGCAGACGGTACCATCTCTGATGTAATTTACTGCAAAGGATAATCCATTACTCTGTATAGCAGCATGTTAAAATATGATTGATATCAGACCACTTATAAAATCTTATTAAATATCCATATTTGACAAGCAAAAGATTTATAAGGATCATTTAACAGCATAATTATTGGCAATATTTAACATCACTGGCGGCTTGGAAGAAATAAGGAAGTTAATCAAATATGAGCAGACTGACTCCTTGGATGTGACATTTTATAGCAAAAACTACCCACAGCATAAAAGAGCCTTCGACAGATGTTGAAAAGTTAATGGTGATGCCTGGGAGGATTCTGCTACTCTTCCTGATGAGTTAGCTGTATATTGTAGGTCTTTGAACAAACGTACTTAAGAAAAATAACTTTAAAAGTATGGAATACTTTTAAGTAGAAAGCTTTTAGTTGCAACGCTGCAGCTTTTAAATGTTTATTATTATGGAAAAGTACTTTTATGGACTTTCAAGTAAAACACAGAAACACATAAATAGTTGTGTCAGGATGCTGTACAGCTTTGATGTCAGGCTGCAGTCAGACTGCCCTGTGTGGCTAGACAGGCTGCAGGTGAAGCCTCGTAAAATATAGGGAGGAAAAAGACTTATAAAGAGAATGAGACAGACTGAATTAACGCCTCTGCTTCATTTGCTTGTATATAAAATGGATATAATGATAGTACTTTTATATTAATAACTGAATATTAAATAAATGAGTTAACATATGAAGGTGCTGGAAGGTATATACACCACAATTTTTCTAAGTAAGATAAAGGATAGGAGTAAAAATTTAACTCCAAAATGATATATATGTGTCAATGACTTGACAGATTTAATAAAAATAGGTCTAGAAATAGTTTGTTAAAAAAAAAAAATCAGTGAATCTGCCTCAGTCACATCTATAGTAGAACACAGAATTATTTATACTTAAATATACATATTTATTTATTTATGCATGTAAGAACTGGGTTACAGGCCAGAGGTGCGGGAGCTGAGAGGATTTACCAGAGACAGCAGGAAGCAGAACAGGTGTCATAAACCTAAGTACTAGTTCATAATTTTAAGTTGGCTGCTTCTTACAAATAACAGTGTTGTTTATGCTAGTTTGAAAAAGCTATAGTTGCCTCCTCCTGGGCTAAAATCACCCAATCTCTAAACATTGAAAGTAAAAGACTGAAAAAGTTCTGAAGCCCAATTAATGACATCATATTATCCTTCCTTGCCGTTAGTGAACACTATATTATATATAGAATTATTGTATTCCCAAATAGAAGCAGAAATAGTACTATGATCACCTGCAGATATGGCTGAAACAAAATTCCGAACTGACTTTTTTTTTTAAGATTTATTTATTTGTGCATACAGAACTGGGGTACAGGCCAGAGACTCGGGCACTGAGAGGCTTCACCAGAGACAGAGTGGAGAACAGAACAGGCAGATTCACGAAGTACACTGCTGAGGGGAGCAGCGGGCGGGTCAGGAGAGGTCTGCCACACCATGTGGTCACCTCCGGAGCAGGCAGGAATCTAACTCAGGCTTTAGATTCTCAGTGCCACCAGGGAAGGCCCTCCAAACTGACTTTTAAAAAAAATACAGACACCTAGGTTATCTTAAGAGCTATTATACAATATAATAAAACCATATTTGAAAATTTCTAAGGAAATCATTGATGTTACAAAGTTAAATGATGTCACAAATTTAAAGTTGGAATTATAAACACATAAATAAGCTTTAACCTAGGTCCCTTCACATTGTATATTAAAAGCCGAAGAGAACACATTGATGATGCAGGGAACAGTGGCATAAAAACAATGAGCAACAGTGTCTCTGAACAAAACTTAAGAAAACATATCTTGAACATAAAGACTTCATCTATTTGCACATATATTTTCCTGCACCTTATCCTCCTGTATTCTACCTGCTATGACATCATAAGACAAATTATGAAAAATAGAAGAAGCCAAAAATTTCCCCCATAATCTCACCTCTCTAATTTCTTAGTCTAGGATGCCCAGGTTTATTCGTCTCCAATCATTTTATGAAAAGAGACTTCTTACGTAAGGTTTATGGCTAAATGAATTGTTTTGTGATGTTTAGGTATGTGGGAGAGGGGGGAATGTGTGGCAGTGGTGTGAAGAAGCAGAAAGGAGAATGTTCTGGGATTATCATGAGTTTAATAATTGGTATATCTAGTATGTTCAGAAGTACGTTTTCTTGATGTCACAGGCTCTAAAGTAGACATTTCCTTGTGAGGTGGTGGTAACTACAGATTAAAGCAACATGAGCTGTGCTGCTGCTTCCTGAGGTGAAATCTCACATTCAGAGCGCAGGTTCTGCTGCATCAAAACTACAGTCTGTCTGTTTAACGGTTCTGGGATATATCGGTGGGCGTGTGTGCCCACATGCATGTGCAAGTCGTGTATTATGTATGTATACATCTATGCTGTAT